AGGAGACAGGCGAACAGGACCGTCTGGGGGATGCGCTGGGGCGCTGCTGCTCAGGCTGTTTGGCCTTAGGGCCGCCTTTACACTCTCAGATTACTGAGCATCCCAGGGAGGTCTTTTCAGGTGGATTATGTCTATCGATATTTACCTATTAGAAATTAAAACTTAAAACATTTACTTATTAATTTATTTAAAAATAACATGGAATACATATTACTTGTTAACATCTATAACATATTCTTACGAGAAATAACTGTATTTTCCAAAACAAAAAAAGTTTTAATGAGACATGGCATCATTTTACGTTTAGCAGATCTCTAATTTCTGGCTTAATAGAAAATAGTTTGATTCTCATCTCTGTTTCTACATTCAATTAGCTGTAATTTCACTTGCCTGTCGTTTCTGGAAGACTCCACTTATGCTTATGAGGAGATGAGCGTGAAGAAGGCACATAACGTCTCAGTATTATTATGAAGATAGTTTGGACCCTGTGAGAATTGCTGCGCTAGGGCAAGCCAAGCAGAAAGGCCTGCTGCCGTTAGGTAGAGGCAAAGGGCTTGAACGGCCAGAGGAGAGAGCAGAGGTGGCTTCATGAGGGAGCGGACATGGAGTGGGCTTTGAAGGATGAATTCTGAGAGCAGAGAATGGCAGGGAAGAACATCGTTACCTGAGAGAATAGTGTAAGCGAGGAAGGAACATGCTGGCAATGTCCAGGTGAGCAGTCCAGTGGCCTCAAGCTGGGGGACGTGGAAGAAGAGAGTGGGAGATTGGGATGAAGCCATACTGGAGAATGCATCCCTGGATTTTCAGGAGGAAGATGACGTGTTCAGGCTGTTATTTTAGAAATCTCAGTGTGAAAGACGGATTTGAAAGGTGAGGTTGAGGAGGCAGAGCGGCCAGTTAGGAATTGTCACTGTCTTCTATCGAAGAGGGGATGAGTGGGGCAGGAGGATGGTCCGGCGGGAGTAAAGCAAAGAGGAGATGCCTGAGGGATCTGGGAGGATGAAGTTTCTGGAACCAAGGAAGAAGAGCAGGACAGATTTAAGGAATGAGAAGTGAGAATGAGTTTGGTTGGGATATTCTGATTTGGAGTTGCTTCCTGGACACCCACGTGAAAGGTCTTCATCAGTCAGCGGGAGTTTGGGGCCTAAACCCCAGAGAGAGGACCAAAGCCCTGGGGGTGGAGATGGGATGTAGAAGTTGTGAGAAGTTAGTGGAGCCATAGGAGTGGCTGGGGATGGCCCGGGTGGTAAAGCAAGAAGAGAAGGGAGTTGAGAAGCAGGCTTATTAATCTGCGGACTCAAGGAAAGGCAGTTAAAAGAAAGTTCCTGGGAATCTGCCTTAAATCTAAACTTGTGACCCTATACTGGTGTTTTTGCCTGCCTCCCTCTGCCTCATCCCCTTCGCTTGGGTTTGCAGACTTGGAAGAGATCCCGTGCAGTGAGGCGGCACCTGGGCTCAGGGAGGCCAGTGCAGCTCGGCTTCCGCACAGGCCGTGCTTCGCTGTCAGCTCAGGAATCCTCATAAAGCAACGAAGAAGCAAAGGGAACTGTCTCTTCCAAAGCTCTGGGAGTGTTTGCTTGTTACTGATTAAAGAAATCAAACTGAAATCTGCATGGAAAGAAAAGATAGAGTGGCTCACAGATCAGATACCCTTAGGTATTTTCTCCATCTAAGGCTCTGTTGTTTAAAGGGAAGGAGGATATTTGATGCGAACTTGAGGCTGAGGGGACGTGAGGGAAGTCAGAGGAAGCAGGTCCCTTCTGCGGCTCTTTGCTGCTGCTTCCCTCCACTGTCGTGCTCAGAATATTCTGATAAGAACCCAACTTTGTAATTCAAATCAAACCGCTTGTTGCTTTTCTCCTTCCTGCTTTCTGTATCACTTGATTCATCCTGGTTCCAAAATGACTTTCCTCTCTACTACATCCTTTTTAAAAATATGCCGCCGTGCTCTCTTACATTTCAAATATATTGCCCTCTTCTGTAGGACTTAAAATGAGCGCAGCTCAAATGCAGCCTCCTCCTTTGTTAAGCATTTGAATTTCTGAAGGGCTTCTCCTAAGTGTTCTTCCCCAGTGGACCAGGGAGCTTCCAGGCGTGCTGGAAATTGCGTGGGCTTTGGAACACAGTGTTTAAGTCCTGCTCCCCCTCGCAATAACTGGATGACTCGGGCAAGTTGTACAACTTGCAGAGCTCCGCGCCCTCCTGGGCTGGGCACAAGGGCTGTAGCAGTGGAAGCTACAGTAGACACAGCCTCTGCCCTGCTAGAGCTCGCGGCCCCATGGAGAGAGCGTGGACACGAGTCGTGACCCCAGTGGGGAGTCACCAGAGACGGAAGAGGGCGGCAGGTAGGCGTGCAGACTCTGGAGCCGACTGCCTATGCTGGAATCCTGGCCGGGTCACTCAACCTCTCTGTGCCTCAGTTTCCTCATCTGTATAATGGGTGATGATGTTGCTAATTCCTGCCTCACAGGGTTGTGGTGATAAGTAAATTAATATATGTAAGCACTTAGAACAGTGCCTGGCACATATGCGTTAGCTATTGTAATTATTATTATTACAAAGAATAAAGTGACAGGAAGGAAAGTTATGGTGTGTTGAGAATCCAGACGTTGGGGGTAGGGTCTGATTTAGATGGGAGGATCAGGGAAAGCTTCGTGTGGAAGTAGAAACAGAAATCTCAAGAGTTAACAACACGCAGACAGCAGGAGAAGCACAGACAGGGAAGCGGCCCTGCGCAGGCAGAGCTGGTTGGATCAAGAAACCGAGAGTATTGAGGGGAAGGTGTGCTGTGAGGCTGAGTCGGGTAGTGTTACCAACGCGGCCAGCCAGGGGCAAGCTGGGCAGTGGGTCTGAGGGGCACTGTGCCAAGAGGCAGGCAAGAGATGTGAGTCACCTGAGAACCACTGGGGCAGCGGCCCCAGAGCTCCATTTTATTTTCTGTTAAGAGAACCACGGGACAGAGTGTGTTGTCGTGACTGAGTCTGAGGCCTCGGTTCTTCTGTGTTCCTTGGTCGGACACTCAGAGACAGTCCATCCTCCCAGAAAAATATTCCAGCTCAAGAGATAGAGCCATAATTCAAAATCAGCACCCTCTCAGGCTGCCATAAGTGACTGCCATGCTCAAAACCTGGCTCCTGGGCCTGACCCCGTCTCCAAGTGGTTAAGTTCTCGCACTCTGCTTTGGCGGTCTGGGGTTTCGCAGGTTCAGATCCTGGGCACGGACATGGCTCTGCTCATCAGGCCGTGTTGAGGCAGTGTCCCACATGTCACAACTAGAAGGACCCATAGCTAAAATATACAACTATGTATTGGGGGCATTTGGGGAGAAAAAGCAGGAAAAAAAAAGAAGAAGATTGGCAACAGTTGTTAGCTCAGGTGCCATCTTTAAAAAAAAAAAAGTGGCTCCTGGAAGTTGACCTCTTTGCTCAGTCACACCTACATAAACAGAACCCCTTTTTATTGTAAACCATGGCCCACAGGCCAGATCTGACCTGCCGCCCGTTCTTGTACAGCCCATGGGCTAAGAATGGTTTTTACATTTTTCCATCATTTAAAGAGAAAACAACAAAAACAGTTTGTGACTCACAACATCTAAAATATTTATTCTTTGGCCCTTTCCAGGAAAAATTTGTCTACCTTTACAAACCGTCAAAGCTGGAGTTGAATCCACTTGAGATTGGCCCAAGAGGGCATTGTGTTGGGTGAGCCCTCCCTTCTCACTAATGGTGGGTCTTTGATCTTCCAGGACAAATTCTTCAGAAAGACCAGGAAATCAAGGACCTAAAACAGAAGATAGCGGAAGTCATGGCCGTCATGCCCAGCATAACGTACAGTGCCGCCGCCAGCCCCCTGAGCCCCGTTTCCCCCCACTACTCTTCCAAATTTGTGGAGACCAGCCCCTCTGGACTCGATCCCAATGCCTCTGTTTACCAGCCCCTGAAGAAGTGAAGGCCCACTGTGGTGTTGCCCGACCGTTTGGTTACCAGAAGGCATCGCAAAGGAGCGCCTCTGGCAGTCGAGACTCAAAAAGTTTATATTGTATTTTGTGGGACTGTATATGTTGTTGTTTTTAAAAAGGGGGGAAAGATAACATCCAAGTCTGATTAGAACTGCCCGTCAGTTTTTCTTGTAAATTTTTAGAAGACCTCACAGAACTTTGCAGTTTATTTTTCTCGGCCAACACATTAAAACCATTCTTGGATTTCAAGTAGCCAATTTTGCCTTTTATGTATTCTTACAGTTTCCTCTTGAAGAAAAAAAAACAGTTTTTGCTTCTCAACCCTTTATTTTCTATGTTTTAGTTTGTTCTCAAATAAGCAAGCAAAACCTGCACATGGGATGATAATGGAAGCTTTTGGTTTTGAGAGTGAAAGGGTTAAATAACCTAACCCAGCTTTGATTTTGTAGCTGCATTACAGAAGATGATTATTGATATTACAGAAAACAAAAATCGATTACCCCTCCAGGACCAAACACATTCAAGGAGTGTCACTTAAGCTGAGGGGAGAGACAGGTGATGAGACGAGCTATGAGGATGTCACAGGGGTTGTGTTTGGAAATGTTTCTATTCCCGTCGGTGTGTTTAGTCCTAGAAAATTGCCAGCAGCAGTCTTGTTCACAGTGCCTTGGGAAAAGACATTTGAAGAGGAAACTTGATGGTTTTAAACTATTTTCCCCCTTTACCATCATCCATCTTCTCTCTGTATCCAGCTCACTGCGATCCCGCTGAGAACTGGCGGGTAGCTGGGCTGTTCGCTCCCACCACGGCCATGTCTGCTGTTCCTTCTGTAGCAGCTCGGCAGTGTTGCGGACTCGTGTCAAGGCGAGCACCTTGGGAAGGGGAGCTGGGCGGCGCGGGTGTGCGAGAGACTGCAGTGACAGCTGCTGAGAGCTGCCATTCTAGGTTGCTTTTTCTTCTTAATTTCATTTCATTTGGCTGTGCTTTCCATTCTTCATCATCTTGTGTTTGACAATTTAAAAGAAACTTGACTGTTCCTCAGCTCTTCTGCCAAGGAGGATTTTTTTTTTTTCAAGAGTTTTAAACTCAGAACTCTGCACACAGATTTCAGTTTCAAGTGTGTATTATACATTGGTAGAAAAGTGTTTGCACTGGCAACTTTTGGAGGTGTTTAAGAGTCCGGGTGGGGGTGGGGGGAGGGGCCGGGACAGGGAGGGGCAAAGCAAAACTGTATTCGGAAACTAGGAAAATTAAGAAACCGAATAGATTGGTTTTGCTTCCTTGCCATGGATTCTGGAAGGACATAGTTCTTCTAAAATTTCCTGTTAATTGGCATGTATGTCTCATTTAAAGCAAATTAAGTAGGACAAGCAAGTCAGCCAAATACAAGTATTAAAAAGAATTATCCTTTTAATCACAGATCTTATTTTGGGATAAAAAACTTCTAGCTTTAGCCAGGTGTGCATGTTGCTGCCAGTTTGCATTTTTTGAATCATCTTGTGTAATTGTCACCATGAAAGTGTTACTCAGAATTGTCGTGGGTTTTTCTCATCTTTGTGCAAAAACATGGAAAATTGTCATTGACTTTGTGTTGAGGTTTCCCCCGTTTTGCTGCCTTTTGGGACACTACTTTCGTTAAATATTTGGTCTTGGCTGCATTCTTTTTTTCCCCCCCCCCGTGGGGTTCAAAAGAATAAACATTTTCTTACAGATAAAACTAGTTTTCTGCCTTTTTAACTTTTCAGGAGGGCCCCACAAGGTAGATTGTTCTGAACGGGCCTCATCTCAGCGCCTGTCAGGCGGCTGTTCCGTCCCTCGGGGGCAGACGCAGGCTCCAGGATGAATCCATCCGGGGTTTCAAGTTGGTTTAGTTCTAGTCTGTCTTAAGATATATCCATTCTCATTCTCCCTGCCTCCCTCCCTCTTTCTTCCTCTTGGGCATCTGATTAGAACCAAGGCTGACTTGTTTACAGGTAAAACCCTCCTTTCCTAAAAAAGCAAGTTAGGGCTGGGATTGGAAGGCAGTTGGTGAGAAAATCTTAAGAGTGAATTTCCTTCCCGTTTTCCAGAATCTTTTTGGGCCACTTTGTGGCCAGCACCCCGTTGGGTTTCCTGTCTGCCGCAGATCCTGGACTGACCTCCCAGGTAACCACTTCCATAGTCCTCCCTGGTTTCTAGAAGCTCTGTTTTCATCTTCTGAGAAGCCAGCTGCCTCTCCTGGCCCATTTTTCTCTCTTGGGCATTGTTACCATTGATCTTGGCTCCAGTTCTGGAAAATTCTGCCCTGGCACCTCACCCTCTGTCCCTCTTGCTGGATGGCTTTCCTGAGCCTTGGCCATTCAGGCTCTTGCAGACACCTGACTCTTAGTGCTATGAGCAGAGTTCCCCAGGGGAGGCGCCTGGCTTGGCTTTTGACTTCACCTCCCCTGAAGGAATTTGTCTGCCTACAGCATTCCCACTGGCACATTCTTTTGTACTAAGGAAGCCTCCAGTTGCCTTTGTTATTTTAGACCCATCATAAAGTGGCTCCACGTCTTAGGACATTATAATTTATTACGTGCCATAAAGCAGTGTTTGCCCTTCTGGATGGTTAAATATTTACAGAAAGAGCAGGCTGAGTGTGTTTTGAGTGGCTGAATAACCTCTCTTTATTGACCTCTCCCAGTGTGACATAAGGAAGCAGCTGTCGTGTGTCCATTCTCTCGGTGTTAATCTTTCTAGGAGAACCTATAAAATGAGAATGAACAATTCCTCATGGCTTCCAGGCGGAAGGAAAGGAAGAGTCCTACCCTCCCAGTCCCCCACACTCACCTGTCTATATTGATGGGGCCCTGGCAAGCCGCCTGGGAGGGCTGAACGTTAACGGCTACTACCGGATTGCTGCTTGCGAAATTCACATCACACCGAAGGGAGGTGAAGAGGTGGCCTGGAAGCGTCCCCAAGGGCAGTTCAGTGCCGGCCAGCTAGGAAACTGTTTTCAGGTGGGCCGTGCCAGCCAGACCCGGTGAGCTCAAAGGGGCCCTGAGACCTGTGAATGCCTGGTTTCCTGGGATGCACGACGACGTTCACTGCTGAGCTGGCTTCACAGGCCTGTAGCACTTGCCCAAGGGCATGCGCCTCTCTCAAGGCCCTCCTCTGCTGCAGGCCACGCAAGGCCGTGTGGCACAGGCAAGTCTCCTGCACGGAGATGGGAGCCCACTCCCAGCTTTGCCACCACCCACTCTGTGATCTCCCTTAACCTCTCTGGGCTGGGTGCTGTTTGCTCACCTTTAAGGAGTATTGTTCCTTGCTGCCCTGCCTGCTCAGGGAGTTGCTATGGGAACTAGGTGAGCTGACACGGAGTGCTCTGTGAACCGTCCAGAGCCTGCCAGATGGAAGTCCAGAACTGTGGCCAGGAGGCATGGTGAGGCGGGGACCTGGCTAGCCATTCCTGTTCCTGGGGCTTGCTCCATCCCCCGCAGCCAGTCTCCTCACAAGTGTGGTCCCAAACTGCAGGCCAGCAGCATCAGCATCCCTGGGAGGTATTCCCCAGCACCCCCATCTGAATCTGCATTTTAACAAGATCTCTGGGTGATCCGGTTGTGTATTAGTTGTTTAGAAGCCGCATCCTGAGCCGACTTCCTACCCTGAAGACTCTCAACACTGGCGCGCTCTCTTCTAGTTCAGAAAAAGCCAACAATCTGGCTTTGAAAATTGAGAATTAAGAGCTTAATTGATGAGGGGCAAGCTGGCGGTGAAGCACTCTAAGCGTTCTGCATTTTGCTCATTTTATCATCCCCCCATTAGAATGTAAGCTCTGTGAGGAAAGGGCTTTTTGTCTATTTACAGCTGTAACCCCAGAACCCAGAACTATGACTGCCACGTAGGAGGTGCTCAATAAGTATTTATTGAATGAATAGGTTAATAGATGAAGCAGAAATAGATTTCATGTAATCTGAAGTAGCCTGTCTTCAGTGAGTCAGCGCAGCTCTCAACAGTACAATTAGAATGACTGTCGGTGGCTATTGTGACTATTAGTATAAACAGAACTGCGTCTAGAAGGAGAGGGGAAGATTTGAAGTGGCACGTTTACCGTGACATCTTCTATCTGCCTGTCTCTGGTTTCTGGCGAAACCTTGTTTTCCTTGTCAGATTTTCTCTACAAACGCCTGCTTGACTTAGCCGGGTGTGAAGATCCCCTGACAGCTGGCTGCAGTGAGAACAGTCAACTGCTCTGCCAGGGGAACCTGGCTGCAGGGACCCTGCTGGGGGCCCATCCATCTTAGGCCCCGTTTCCCCAGAACCGCTGCATCTTGAGTCAATGTGGGGACTCTTCATTTTACAGTAACCGAATTAGAAAGCATTTCCTTCAGGAAGGTATCTGGTTAAATGAAGCTCTCAAGGATCTCCTTCGGTCTGACCGAGGCGGCCACGCTTCCTTTCTTGCCTCCCTCCCTCCTTGGACTGGCTGGGATCCTGGTCTCTTCCCACTTCAGTGTTTGCGTCTTTTTCCTCTGCCTTGGCCTGAGGTGCAAGTCTTACATCCCCTCAGATGGCCTTCCCAGGGCTCTGGACTCACCCTGCCATTACACCTCTGATCTCTGTCCTGAGAGTCCCAGGCTTAGCTCACAACGTGCTGTGGCCTTTTAAGCCCCGTCCAAGAAGCCTGGACTGGTTTGCCCTGGGAGACAGTCCATTCTGCCCCTGTTCTCCAGCTCTACAGCCTCCAGACACCTTAGGGTGGAGAGAGAGGCGCACTGAGTGTGGGCAGGACCTCTGAGGGGGACCTGGCCCGGTCCTTGCACCTGCATCGTCAGCTCCTCACCGTTCTCTTTCCTTTTGTCCTCAGTTCTGGCGCAGTATCCAGTACCAGGCCCGCACTTACCTAGAACAATGGTTCTCAAACTTTAGGTTCATCACAGCCGCTGGAAGGGCTTGTTAAAACACAAAGTGCTGGGTCCCATCCCCAGAGCTTCTGATTCAAGAGGTCTAGGGTAGAGCCTGAAAAATTGTGTTTCTAACAAGTTCCCAAGTGAGGTGGGTCATGCGACCCCCCCCTTTGAGAACCGCTGATGAGAGCGAGGGCTGGCCGGGGCCAAGCCCTGCCTGGAGCCATCCCCTCCAGCTGCCACCAGAGGGCACATGCGGCCTTGGTGAGAGGTCTTTTCTCACCTCCAGCTGCTGCCTCCGACAGCCAACAGGTCCTTCCCTAAGGATCTCTTTGTAATGGGAATTTTTGTTATTATGTATGAGGAAGAAGTGTTGATCTGAAAAAGAAGGTGGGTTCTCACAGTCTGTCTCTGACAAGTATCAAAGGTCTGATGGACCAGCCTTTTGAAGGTGTTGAATGTCCCCGCTTTCAGGAAATGGAACTCTGTTCCCATGGGAGGAGACCTCCGGGGCCCCTCCTGCGGCACACTGAAGTAGGGCCCCTCTTTCAGAACGGCCTGGACTCATTCTGTATTCAGAACCCGAGGGGCAGTTGAGATTATAGGTGATTTTCATTTCCTCTTCATACTTTCCTGTATATTCCAAATTATCCACAATAAACTTAATATTACTTTTATAATAAAAAACAATAATGGTTTTTAAAACACATTTTAAATGTAATTAAAAGCCAAAACAACAACTCAAAAATAAGCCAACAACCCGAGGAGAGGACTCGGGGTGAGCAGCTTGGGGTAAAGAGAACCCCCAGCTGGAGCTCGCCCCCACTCTCCTGCTTGTCCATTCTGCCCAGCTCTCTGCCTGAGGTGGGGCGTGGGACGACAGTAGGTCATGTGCTCAGCAAGGCTGGGACCGAGGACAGACGGTTGCCTGTCTGTCACCTCTGTAGTTCACCTGTTGCTGGAGCTCGTGGCTGATGCCCCAACCCAAGCGCAGCACTGTCACACTCAGTGCTGCTGTTGTCATGCACCAGGGCTTCCCAGGGGCCACGTGGGTGGGAGCAGGGCAAAGATACTAAAACTTAGAGACCTCAGAGAGGTTCCCACTTAGTGGCCTGCAGATGTGTTTTGTTTGACCTGCACAGAATTGAATAAGTTAGTCTAACATTTACAGATTGAGAGATTTCGCATTATCTGGATTTTTGGGTTTCCTGCAGACCTGGCATCCCGCTCGCTGCTGGCGTCCCTCTCCAGGCACCCTGGAGCATGCGAGAAATAGGCCTCAGGTCTTGGCCCTGGTTTCTCATTAGCATCACCTGGGGAGCTCTCAGGATTGCCCATGCCCGGGGCCCACGCCCAGAGAGCCTGATTGAACGCGGCTGGGGAGGAACCCGGGCCTTGTTTTTAAACTCCCCAGGGAGTCCTAATGTACAGCCCGGGTTGAGAAACTGGGAATTAGTGAATAGTAGGAGGAAGTGTCCATCCTGGCTGAGCCCGGGGCCTCAGAGGATGTGTCAGGGCCAAACTGGGATGTGAAGGAAGCTGGTCTGTCTGCCCGCCTTCCCTATGCAGACTCTGGTCGGCTCTCTTCTTCCTTCTGGCCCTGCGCCTCCTCCAGGCCCTTCTCCTAGATTCCCCTTGCCAACCACGTTTATCACACTGGTCTTTACCAATTTAAATTGTTAGCCCTTAGGTTTCCAAAAAGAAATTCTGTTAACATCATCTCAAATTTGTTGTTATTACATGTTCCCTTCTTATCTGAGGTTTTTTAATATTGCAAGCCATAGAAATGGACTGTGGCCAGTATAAACCCAAAAGAGAATGAGTGGAAAGGAATGGGGTGAGCCCTACAGGGTTATCTGGAAGCTGGAGAAGCCAGCTGGGAAAGACAGGAGTCAGCCAGCTGGGGCTCCCGGAGGCAGGAGCAGCTCCGTGGGGCCACATCCTGCCACCAGGATGAATGAGTCCATGACCCAGCTTCTCTCCAGCAGGAGTCTTGGGAGACTGTATTATTGTTCCCAATTATCCCATCCATCCCCACCGAGAGCATTGTACATCTCCCCTCTTGGGTGTCCGAACTGGCTTACGGAGTGGGAGGGGACATCACATGTGCCGGATCTGAGCAGAAGCTTTAACTGCACCTGGTGTCCACGTCAGCCTCCTGCTCTCTCTGCCAGGAACAGTACTTCCCAGACAGCGGCCACACCTGGCTGAGAGCTGAGCCGAGTCAGAGCCAAGCCTCAGTCCCGTGAGCAAAGATCCATGTTACTGGTGTAAGCCACTGAGACCTGGGGGCTGTTCATTAGCAGGCCTCGGCTGACTAGCACAGAGAAGGAGTCCCAGCTTGAGTCCTATGCCGTCCCCTTGGCTGCACCCTGGGATGGACAGCCGGAGCCTGCGGAGGAGATGCTGGGCCCGCTCCGCTTCCTGGTGGGAGACAGAGCTGGTGTCCCCTGCCCCAGGCTGCTCACACGGAGAGATGCTTACAAAAGAGAAACCAGGGTGCTGCTGGGCTGGGGGCCAAGAAGCCCACAAATAGCCACCACCCCAGTGGTTCCAGCAGCCAAAGGCCCAGGCAATGAGTGCTGGCCTTCCTGCCGCCCAGGCCGCTGTCGTTATCTTCCTTTCCCATGAGCTCCACGGTTTAAGGATTTTGTAACAAACAAAAGTAATTACATGTATTAATTCATCACTACCAACATCTTCTCAGTCCAGGACATAACTGCTCAGAGAACTTCTGACCGACCACCGTGGCCAGCGGAGCCAAAAAGCAAGAGAATTCAACCTTTCAAGTCACCTGTGCAGCCTTTTTGAAACATCAAAAATAGCCTGGGAGTGCGTGTCACACCTTCCCGGGCCTCTGTATATCTGAGCCCCCAGGTGGGAACTGCCAGTTTTAATACGTTCCCTCTCCTGAGACTGTGTCATTCCAGCAGCCGACACTGGAGCAAAAATGTCCCCAAGAACCAAAGGAGCATTGCAGGAGCAGCGGCAGGCTGGTGCGGTGGGCATGGGGGGGGGGCCTTCCTGAGGGAGGCCCCGGTGGGCAAGGCTGCTCCACCCATGCACGGCCCCCACTCTGAATAATCCCGATTCCTTGTGAGAGCAGAGGCTTTGGTGTGGCCCCTCCTCCAGGAAGCTTTCTGCTGGACAAGCCTGGGCCAGTCTCCTACAGTCTCTGTACCTGCCTCCCTTTCCTCTTCTGTCAAATGGGGATGATGAAAATAGTCCCCCCGGTCGCAGGGTTGCCATGACAATTTGGTGAACAGGGACCTGCCAGGCACTGGACTGGTTAACACTTGACCTCACCCCTCGCTGCACTGGCCCTCGCGGCTGTTTTAGGAGGAACGTACAAGAAGTGGGCTGGGGAGTTTGTTGCAAAGATGACATGAGCTAATGCATCTACGTCTCTCAGCTCCTTTGAATGGCTGTGCGTGCGTGTGTGTGCGTGTGTGCGTGCGTGCGTGCGTGTGTGTGTGTGTGTGTGTCTTCTTCATCCTCCCTCCCCTCCAGGTGATCTGGCCTGCCCGGGGTTCAGAGTTCCAAATTCTGTTTCTTTGCTGGTAACTCCCACGCCCATAATCTCCAGCTCAGACCTGGTTCCTCAACTCCAGACTCGTATTTCCAGGTCCTCCCGGCATCTCCTCTGGATGTCTCACAGGCGCCTCGGACTCCATGTGTTTCAACTGAGTTCCTCATCTCGCCCCAAACCTGTCCTCCCCATCCTTCCGGTCGCCCAGGCTGTCCCTGGATCCTCCTTGATTCCTGTCTTTCTCTCACACCCCACATCTAACCTGTCAGCAGATCCGGTCAGCTCTACCTGCAAAATATTTCCAGAATTTGACCTGCTCTCACCTCCTCCACTGCTACCAGCCTGGTCTGACCACCATCCTCTCTCACCCGGGCTTCTGCAAGAACCTCCTCACCGCTCTTCCTGCTCTAGCCCTTGCCACACACGGCCCAGTTTCAACAAAGCGGCTAGAGAGATGCTGTCAGAACACAGGTCAGATGGTGTCAAAGGCCTCCAGTGGTCCTATATCCACCTCAGAGCCAAGGAGAGAGTCCTTAGCATGTCCCACCAGGCTGTACACAACACATCCCACGCCTCCCTCTGACCTCCTCTCCCCCGACATTCCCTCAACCAGTGCCTCTGAGCTATTCCCACCAGGCGCACTTCTGCCTCAGGGCCTTTGCACTAGCCACTCCCACCTTTTTTTGAATAAACATTCTATTTTAGAATAGTTTCAGATCTACAGAAAAATTGATAAGATAATACAGAAGTTCCTGTATACCCCAAACCTAGTTTCCCCTGTTGTTAACATCTTACATTAATATGGTATATTTGTTACAATTAATGAATCGACATTGATACATTATTAACTAAAGTCCATACTTAATTCAGATGTCCTCAATGTTTTCCTAATGTCCTTCTTTCTGTCCCAGGATCCCATCCAGGAAACCACATGACATTTCATTGTCCTGTCTCTTTAGGCTCCTCTTGGCAGCGACGGTTCTTTTCTTTGTGTTTAGAGGGTCTGACTCATTTCCTTACCTGCTTCTGACCTTTGCTCAGATGTTCCTTCCCAGCGAGCCCTGCCCCGACGAGCTAACCGAACAGTCTCCATCCCTCTTCTCTGCTTCATCCTTCTGGTGTTCATTACTACTGATCATATTTTTAATTTTTACTTATTTTGTGCTTTGTCCGTCTGCCCTGACAGGGGTGGCAATTCCATGATGGCAGGGATTTGGGGCTGTCCTGTTCGCTGCTGTACCCCCGGCACCTAGTATCGTGCCTGGTAGGGTAGTAGGTACCCAATGAATGTTCGCTGGATGAAAGAGCGCACACTGGAATCTGACTAGAAGCCTCATCCTCTTTCCATCCATCCCCTCCACTCCCTCCCAATGAAAGAGAAAATCCCCCTGAGGGCTCCCCGGAGCCAGGCCCAGCGACGACCTGTGCTCATTTAGTCCCACACGGGTCCCAGGGACTAGTAGAGTTATCTTGCCCTCATGGGTGAGGAAACTGAGGCTCGGGGAGGCAGAGTCCCACAGGCAGGGAGTGGAGAAGCCTCCGGCCTCCTTGAACCCGCCAGCCTCCTGGAGACCCACACCCTCCAACCTGGGAATCCGCTCCGTGGTTGGAGGGAGGGGCTGCGGGCACAGGCCGGCAGCGGGAGAGCATCCAGCCCCAGCAGGACGTCGCACACGTTCAAGGTTCAAGGAGCGGTCCAGCGAGCAAGGCGCCCTTGGGCCTCGGCCTCGGTTGGGCCCTGGCCATGGCTCTGTGCAGGTGGGCTCATTGAGGCCCGGCCTCGCTCACACAGCCGAGGGGAGGAGCTGGCCAGGAGGCAGGTTTCCTGACGTGCAGTTGCCAGCAGCTCCCTTGAGGGAGGCGGGGATTGGTCTGCAACTCCTCAGCTTCAGGCAACTGGGGTGAGTGGGCAAAGGCGCCGCCTCCGCGCATCCACGGCCTTCGTGCACCTTCCTCCCCCCACCCTGCCCTTCCTTAGGGGATTCGCCTCTCACCTTGACCTGCTTGGGCCTCACTTCCAGGGGCGGAGTCAATCCACCAGTGGCACCCTGCAGGCCACCCTGCTTGGCTCAGGGGTGGAAACACACCCAGTGAGGACCAATGAGACCGAGGAGACATTACCAGCTTTGAGGGAGAGAACGCTTCCCTTCTCGCCAGCCCTAACTGCCACGTGGTGCAGAGACCTGAAGTTCAAGGCGGCTGAGGCCATTCTTGGCCGGCTGTCTCGGGTTGCACACGAGGCCCTGGGTGGAGAACCTCCTTCAGAGGCTGGCCAAGGCGAAGAGGGGAGACACGGCCACACTCGCCCCCTGGTGCTCACTGACCACCGGGCCTAGCACGGAATGGGGATCCCACGGGTACTGGACATCTAGCTGCCTTTTCCTGAATAAATGAAAGGATGGACGGATGGTGCCTGCCCTCAGCTCCACGTCCCAAATGTCTCTAAGCCTCAGTTCCTGAATCTGTGTAATGAGCTTAATAATAGTGTCTACCTCCTAGAATTATTGTGGGAACTAAACGAGTTAATGTATGTCTGGAATATAGTAGGTACGTAACAAACACCCATTATTATCATCATCATCATCATTGTCATTATTTCCCTCTGGGAGCCTGTCTCCTCATCTGTGAAATGGGAATTCATTTATTCACTCAACAAACTGCTGATCATCATCCATGTGCCAGGCATTGTGGTTAAGATCTGGGGCAGTTCCAGAGATGAAAGGGCCATGGTCTGTGCCTGGAGGAATTAACCTTCTGGCGTGGCAGGCAGTCACGAGTTAAAACCCAGTGGGAGGAGAGCCAGCTAGATGGAAAGTCTATTGTACAGACACGGGGTGACCTGGGTGCTGAGCAGCTCCCTCCAGAGCTAGACTAATTGAGGTGAGGAATGGCAGCTGACCCCTTGTCTCCTGCTCCGTCCAGTGTGTCGAGTTGGCATGAAAATGTTTGGGATGGGCTCCGGTTGTTGTTGGCCTGAGCCAGACAGAAAAGGGAGGACAGTGCTCAAGGTCAGAGTAGGCAGAAAGATAAGAGGTAAGAGTCAGGGAAGGACAAAGCAACTCGTATCTCAGATATTTTTTTCCCCTAAGATGTTATCTTAATTTTCTTAAATTATGTGAAAATAATGCATAAATCTAATTCTTTAGACTTTTATCTGTTTTGAAAAATGAGTGAAATTTTCATTTTGATGGAGGTTAATATGGAATATGAGCAGCAAATTACACCGCCACCTGGTGGCAGCATACCAAAGTCACAGGTTTGTTTCATTTTGTTTGAGATGACAACACACGGCAAGCTCAATCTTTGGACGTGAACAGAAATACCAAAACCATCCCCCGCCTTCCCCTTCTCCCCACGCCTTTGCTAAAACCCAGCTTCCATAGCTGAAGCTCCCGAGTTCCCAGCTTTTGCCTGAGTCACACCGGCTCCTCCTCCCTGCCTCCTGGCTTCGCTGGCGCTGGAGAGCCTCAGGCCCATTTTCCCATCAGCTCTGCATGGGTGCTAACACCTCCCTGCCCTCAGCCCAGCCCCCAAGGGGACTGTGGAGTACGGAGACAACCCAGCCCAAGCGTACTGGTTAGGACTACAGATGCTGCACTTGGGCTGATGGGGGTTCGAATCCCTGCTGACCACTTGCTGCTGTGGGTCTCTGGACCCCTCCAAGGCCTCTCTGAGCCTCAGTTTCCCCATCTGAAAAATCAGATGGAGTCTGAATTCAACAAGAGACTTCCTGCGCTTTTTACTACATGTCTTTCTACTTCTTTTTCTACAAGAGCCGGAGAGGATAGAGACCAAGAAATGATGGGGAGGAGTGGGCTGGAGGCCCCCTCTATTGCACTTCTCCTCTTGGCGCCCGTCTCCAGAAGCAGCGAAGGCCTAGCCCTGTCTGAGTGCCCTCCCAGGCTCCCCTCCCCAACCTCCGAGCCCGGTCCCCGACACCCTGCACCGTCTTCTAATCCATTTTGTGCTGAAGGGGCAGGACTGAGCAAAGGTTCACTGCCCCTCCATGGGGCCCAGAGAGGGCAATGCTCACCCCCCTCAAATGGCTCACGAAAGGTAGTGTTCCAGGCACTGGGGACGAGGAGAAGTTTTGGAGCTGGGCGTCCCCACCCTTGGCGGCCCCTAGAGCCCAGTCCAGAAGCTTAGGAAACCAGACTTCTGACCCGAGGCTGATGCTACCTGGACCTTGCTGTGTGGCCTCGGACAAGTTGCTGACTCTCCTGAGCCTTGAATTCCCCGTCTGTAAAAGGGAGCTCTCCAACCTAGTCCAACTCCAGTGACGCGGCTCCTGGGGCTGCTGGAGGGGTGGGCAGGGTTGGCGTGTCCCCTCTCCTCACCCCTCCCTGCCTGCTTGGGGAACCCCAGGATCCTGCTTGGAGGAAGAAAGAGGCACCGCTTCTCCTGGGGAACTGGGTCTCGGAGCAGGGTGGAGGGGCTCTGGGATGCTCCCCCGCACTGGCACTCGCTGTGGGCAGCCAGCGCTAAGTGCTGCGTTCATTATTACCAGCTCCCCCGGGGGAACAAATTCAAAGTGAGGTCACCATGGTAACCCAGGCGGTTGCAATGTGACCACATTTTTAAAGTGCTCGCGTGTTCCAGGCAAATTACCTCTCAGTGGAAGAGAAGAGAATGGGGCCTCAGTCGCACACCTCAGTGGCCCGGGGAAGAAAAGCCCAGGAGCTCCTGTGGGTCCTAGAACGTTCCACAAGAGAGGGTGAGGCAGATGCAGGGCGGGGAGACAAGCGCTCCTGCCTCAGCAGGCCAGAGCAGAGCTGGAAATGACCTCCAGGGCCCTGAATGCGGCCTGACCAGAGGGCCAGAGGCTCCAGGTTCTACTCCCAGCTCCACACCTCTTGTCTGCAGCCCAGGCCGATGCCTTGCCCTCTCTGGGCCTCCAATTAAGCTTCGTGCAACCGTATGTCTTCAAGGACCAAGGAGATGAGCCAGTGGACTGTTATACCCAGAAAGCCAGGGGTTTGCTAATCAGGCCTCCAAGGCAGAGAGACCTGGATTCAAATCCTACCTCTGCCACTCAACAGCTGTGTGACCTTGGGCCAGTGACTTCACCCTTCTGAGCTTTGGTTTCCTTACCTGTGAGAGGGCAGCTAATAGTAATTCCTCCTCCTTGGGGTGGTTGTTAAGTTTAATAAAATCATCCATGAAAAGCGCTCAGCACGCACCCTACACACAGTAGGTGCTAATGTCATCATTGTTGTGGTCACTTAATAAGCATCCCCAGTGCCAGGCTCTGAGTTGAGCGAGTTACACGTGATCTCTTGTGGAATCCTCACCACGTTCCCCCCAGGAGATGGGTGCCGTTATTAACCCCATTTAGCAGACGTGGAGACTAAGGTTGGCAAGGTGAGGCGACTCACGGAGGTGCACAGACACCCAAGGGGTGGGGCCTGGATTCCGACCCGGGTCTGTCTGCTTCCAGAACTCGAGCCCCAACCGTTCACTGCACGGCCTGAGGATGAAGTGAGACATGAGTTGAGTGCCCAGCACTAGTGCATGGCACACGGCGGGTGCTCATTAAATAGTGGCACATCCAGGTTTCATGCCATAGCCACTGAATTGCCCCTGACCCCTGTCTTGGGGGCTTGGGAATCTGCATCTGGTGGGTTCAGAACTTCCATGGTTCAGGCGCTGATGGGAGAATTAGAGCAGAGACCCCCCCCCAGCAGGCCCCTCTTCAGGCCACTGCCCAAAGGGTGCCCATGGCTATCGGCATCACAGTGGCCCTGCCTCATCCTCTAGCCTGTCCCTGGGGCCCTGGCTGCCCTCACTCTGTGGGGACACAGACGGCCAGGAGCTGCCTCTGACCTCATCCAGCCTAGCTGCGATGTGGCCTTGCATGGCCCCACCTACCCTTCCTGCTGGGTCAGCATCCCACCCCACCCTCCCCTCCCAGCCACCCCCAGGCAGAACTGGCTTTCCCAGGACAGAATGAGGTCAGGCCTGCCGAGTGCACACGGATTTAATAACCAGCCATTCCTACCACAAGCCCATCTGCCCTTCACTGTCCCAGGCCCATAGAGGGTCTGGGGTCGGCCAGATCAGTCAGGGAAGGGCAGTTGTGGGGGTGGAGACCACCCTCCCAGCCAGCGCAGGGCCCCCTGGGAGCCCAGAGCCACCCAACGCTGAGAACTTGTGATCTGGACACCCCAGTTTGGGCCCTTCTCCTCCATGTGGTCTGGCCTTGAGCAAATCACTGCTCTTCTCTGAGCCTCAGTTTCTCCATCTGCGAAATGGAGTAGACAGCCCCCACTACGTGCCTCTGGGGTCACTGCAGGGACAGAGCCGGTAGAAGGCGGATCCCACTTTGTAAATCCCCATGCACATAGAAGACGTGTTCTGGTTGTTGATAATCCTGGCTGCTCTCTGGGTTGGGTTCCCCCCGAAGCAGACCCTGGGACAAGGATGAGAGAAGTCGCCTGAGGCAGTGATCCCCAGAAGCACTGGTGGGGAAGTGAGGCAGGGAAGGAAAAGTTCAATTCAAGATACATGAATTTGCAGGCTGCAGTGGGGACAACCAAGGCTCAGCCCTTCTGAAGACTTCTGGGAGACGGGGTAGAATGGGCCTCAGATTTGTCCTAATCAAGAGGTCAGAAGGTTGAGCTGTTTGTCTGCCAGCTCCCATCCACCTTTGGCTGAGGACTGCCCCGGAAAACATCAGCATCCTTCTGGTGCACGACAGCTGAGCATGCCCTCTGGCCAGAGAAAGCCCTCAGAGTCGCAGGTGCTCACATGAAAGGCCGTCCGGGCACAGGCATGGTGGTCCTGAGGGGATGTAGGCGGGGCTGCACATACACTGCCTCATTGACTGTTCTCCTCACATCCACCTTATGAGGGAGGGACTGTTATTAGCTCCATTCGGCAGATGAGGAATCTGAGGCTCCAGGAGGTGGCGTTCACTTGCCCAAGGCCACACAGCTCAGAAGCAGTAGGATAAGGATTGGAAGTGGCTGCAGGGTCTTTGGGCTTTCCACTGCCTCCCAGACAGGCAGGACCCATTTGCACGTGGGTTGCAACCAGCAGCGAGCTGATAAAAATGCGTAACAATGGGAGAAAAAGCTCAGGCTTCTAATGTTTGCCAGTTGCCATGTTTTAAACACTCCCACCATGGCCAATTTCAAGCTACCAAAGTGACGTCTGTCACAGAACACAGAGTTGGGAAAGGATGCGAACAGCTGGCTCCAGGAAACCACTGGTCGGAACATTTTTGGTCTCGCCTCCGACCCAGCATGGCCCTCAGTAGGAATTAGAATGAATTCCTCTCTAGGGCGCAAACACATTGCACCTGTTCCAGCTCCCAGCCCTTTGCTCCTACTATTCCATCCCTCTGGAATGCCCTTTCCGCCTCTCCATGTGTTCAACTCTCACCACCTGCTCTGGTCCCATGCCCTCCAGGCTGTATCAGTCAGGATGAGTACCACAAGCCGCTATAACAAACATCTCCATAATCTCAGTAATTTAATACAATCTGTTTATTGCGCCCTCCTCCTGCAGTCCACTGCAAGTGGTGTGTGTGGGGGGGGGGTTCGTCTCCCCCCTGGAATGCAGATTCTTTCCATCTGTAAATGCTACCACCATCAACACTTCGTGTCCAAGACCACCACCACCAGGGGACAGAGCGTGGAGGATCCCACAAGAGTTTTATCCAGCCCTGGAACTCATGCTCATCACTTCTACCTACTTCTTAGGCCAGAACCACCCCTCCCAACAGCAAGGGGCCCAGGAAGGGCGGTTTAGCTAGAATTGTGATTTTCTTCCAAGGAGAAAATGAAACCATGAAAAGCCAGCTTCTCTGCTTCTACTTCTGCAACTTCCACAGTCCAACCAACTTCTTTCTTTTCTAGATTCTTCCAGAACATACTGTCCAGAAACTGTTTTCTTTGGTCTTTGAGTCAGACTGCCCAGCATGGTAATTAGGTTGGTCCTTTCTGCCTCCTCAGACTCACAGAGGCTGAGTTGTGAAAGAGCCTTAGAGCGGCGTTCCCAGTGCTCACTTTGGGCGGGAATCGCCTGTGGATTCAGAGTCCCGAGGCCCGGTAGTGCAGGGCTGGGGAAGGGTCCAGCAATCAGTATTTTTAACCAGCTGGGTAGGTAGTTCAGATGTATAGTTAACACCAGAATTACTTATCTAGTCCCAACGTCCCATTTCGTGGATGTGGACACTGAGGCCCAGAGAGGGGGAGGAACTTGCCCTAAGCCGTGGAGTAAGTTAAAGCTGGGTCTGAAACTTGAACCCAGGGCTCCCGACTTCTAACTCTCCACTCTGTCTATACCCCATGGCGCGTCTCCCCTAGGAGACCTGACCGTAACCTCCTGCACAAGACACTGGGAGATGCTGAGCCAGTCATGGGTTATCAAGATGACCTCGGGGTCAGAAGACAGTGAGTCAGATGTGAATCCTCGAGGTGGGCAGACCTGAGTTTGAACTCTGCCTCTTCCACCTACTTGTCTTGGGATCTTGGGCAAGTCCTTTACCTCTCTGAGCCTAGGTTGCCTCATCTGGAAAATGGGATGATGATATACCCTTCCCACAGGGTGGTTAGGAGCATGAAATATATGCAAACTGCTCAGTGCAGCATCGGGTAAATTCTCAGTAAATACGTATAGTTGGCTCTGACTATCTGCCGAGGTAGGTGATTGTTCTCAAGGAGCACAAGGGGCATCTGGAAATGACCTCAAGGATGAGGCTAGCCCAGGAGACAGACTCATCTGGGTAAAGTTTCAGCCACTGTGCAGACCCATTTTTTGTGAAAGTCAACTCCCAAAATGTACAGGCACAGCCCTCGGAAACTCAAGCTGCACAGACTGGTCTTGATTTGTATCCAATCTGGCGCTTAACTAATTGTTTCAAAAATACCCCCGAGCTGTGAGTGCGCATGTACAAGCCTGGGCACTGCTTCTCTGCACAGAGCCTGGATGGGTCCCAGCCCACGGGAGGTCAGGTGAGGCGACTCTCTGCTGCGGTGACAAATGACCCCCACCCACGTCTCAGCGGCTTTGAACAAAAAAGGAAGCTTTCTAGTCACTCGCCCTGTCCGTCATGGCTCAGCTGGGGCTCTGCACGTGGTGGGCACTCAGGTGTGCGGGCTGAAGGAGCAGCCACCCACGCAATTGTCGCTGTCCCCTGTGGCCAAGGGAGAGAGAGGGCTCGGGAGGGTCTCCGCCGGCAGTAAAGCGCTCTGCCCCTGGAGGGATCCACCTCACTGCTCGAGTCTGATGCGGACCCCATGTCACTGAGGCAGGTCCTTGAGCCCATCTCCTTCTCTGTCTGCAGAAAGGAGGTCAGCACAGTAGCTACCTCATAGGATGGACCACGGGGCGACCTGATACGATGCTGTGGATCTCAGAATGGTGCCCGGGATGGAGGAGGAACTTGATAAATGATGGGTTACGACAGCCACAAAGGGAAACAAGCCAAATGTCCATCAACGGACGAATGGGTAAACAAAATGTGGTCTGTCCACACAGTGGAACACTATCAGTCATAAAAAGGAATGGAGTTCTGACCCGTGTTACAACACGGACGAACTTCAGAAAAACACTAAGTGAAAAAGCCAGTCACAAAAGTCTTCATAGTATGTGATTCTGTTTACACGAAATGTCCAGAATAGGCAAATCATAGAGACAGACAGTAGACTAGTGGCTGCTTGGGGCTGGGGGCAGGGAGGAATTAGGAGTGACCGTTCATGGGTACAAGGCGTCATTTCGGGGTGACGGAAATGTTCAGGAATCAGATCGGGGGATGGTTGCACAACTGTGACTACTAGAACCCACTAAATCATCCACTTTAAAATGATGACATCTATGTTAATGAATTACAGCTCAATAATATAAAAATGTGAAAATAAATAATTAACAATAACCGGGGGCCAGCCCCGTGGCCGAGTGGTTAAGCGCACTCCACTGCAGCGGCCCAGGGTTTTGCTGGTTCGGATCCTGGGTGCGGACATGGCACCGCTCATGAGGCCATGCTGAGGCGGCGTCCCACATGCCACAACTAGAAGGACCCACAACTAGAATATACAACTATGTGCTGGGGGGCTTTAGGGAGAACAAGAAGAAAAAACATAATAACAAATAAACAATGGGTAAGAAATACTCCCCTCCCCCCTACAGAGTTGTCCACTCCCCACCCCGAAAACCTGCCCACCTCCCCATTATATTCCTTATCTTTGCGCTGTCCTTTCTGTGCCTGGCCTGTCCCCCCTGGCCCAGGGGCCCTTCGAGGCCGTGGCGGAGCCTGGCTAGTTTTCTTCCTCTCTGCAGCCTGCTCCCTGCAGGCAGTGTCTGGTGTCTGACCTGTGCGCTCTCTCACTCTCACTCACAAAGCTGTGCCCATGCTATGTGTGCGTGTGCATGCATGTGTGTGTGTGTGCACATGTGTGTGCAGGGGTGTGCGTGCAGGGATGTGTGCGTGTGTGTAGTCTGGGCCTGGAGCCTGTGAGGACCAGGCCTCCCGTCCGCTCCTGTGGCCAGGGCTGCCTCCCCTCTCTGTTCTCTGCGGGCCCTTCTCCGGGCCCAGGAGCCTGTGAGAAGCCTGGGGAGGGAAGAGCCCTCGGCCATCAGCTATCCAGCCCCTTCCATTCGGTGATAAGGAAAGCCGGGTCCAGGGCAGGGGCTTGTCCAGCGTCCCATAGTGAGGGGGTGGCAGAGCTGGCACCCCATACCTCCTGTGCTGGAGGTGTGTCAGGGGGCAGGCAGTGGGCTGGGCAGGTGCTGAGAGCCCCTAGGGCCTTCTCGGAGCCCCTCACACGTGCAGCCTGGTGCGTGAGGCCATGGAGGGGACGGAGGGCTGGTGGGGTCAGAGGAGCTGAAGTCATGCGGGGAAGGTCCCAGCCACCTAATACTC